AATATAAACGACCAAAGTTGACTCAAGGCAAAGTAGAAATATAAGTCTACGATTAAGGAAATTAAGTTCAAAGTATTCCATGCACAAAGACATCAGATTTAGATAATTTTACAGTGAGTTACACTAAATTTTAAAACAGATTCTCTTTTTTTTCTTTAAACTGTTGTGGAAAATATAAGCAGTATAGTAGCAATCCAAACCATTTCATGAGACTCGTTCTGTATAACCTTGATACTGAAACCCGATGAGCATATTATAATAAAGAACTTAGATGTAAAAACAAAAAGTGAAATGTAACCCAGTAGTATCCAGCTGCATGTGTGTGTAAATCAGACCCTCATAATCTCAGTCAAGTAAGGTTGAGGAATGTGAACATGTTTTAACATCAGAAAATTTGCCTTAATTCCTGATGTTAGCAGATTATATAAAATAATAAAGTATAATTTTCCCAATAGATGTAGAAAAGACATTTATAAAATTATAAAATTTTAGAAAACTATAACTTAAGTGGATTTCCTTAACCCCGATAAAGAGGCTCTACAAAAAAGCTTGTTGTGAACCTTTTTACTTGATGGTAAACAATAAGTATCCCCTTTCTTTCTTTTTAATGTTTCAATTCTCTTGAATGATACATTGAAATTATTTGCTATAAATGTGGGCTGCTTCATAAGGGAATCTATTATGCAATATTGAATCTTTTTTGCCTATCATCCATAGATATCATTTTCTCTCTAATTCTTTTGAACTTACTCATTTCCATTTTCTTTTGCTTACTTTTCTTAGTCCTGTCCTTTGTCTTTCACTATGTTTTTATCAGTCTCTTTATTCCTTTGTGACACTTCTGATTTTGCTTTCATTTCTTGATTTTTTTTAAAAAAGATTTTATTAATTTACTTTTTAGAAAGAGGGAAAGGGAGGGAGAAAAAGAGAGAAAGGAAAGAAACATCAATGTACGAGAGATACATTGATCGGTTGCCTCTTGTACACCCCCAACTGGGGAACCCTGCTTGGGAATGGAACCTGGCGACCTTCTGGTTTGCAGGCCGACGCTCAGTCCACTTGAGACTTCATATTGCCCCAAGATCCTACCCAATGCATTATGATAATGAAATGAGGTATGACTGTCAAATCAAGTAAAAAACTCAGTAGTAAAGATGTTAAGATTGTTTTTAAATCCAGGAAAATCTATGAATTATTAGAATTAACACAAGAGGTCAGCAAGTTCATTGGATATGGGGCACCAGTTGTGGTAGCCCCAAATCTCACAATTGTTCCTGTTTCTCTTTTGCCTACCACCAATATCCAGTTCATCAGCATTTAAAAATAATAGCAGGTAATTCTTCTCCAAAACTCATTACCCAAGATGTATCATGAGAAAATATTAAACTAAAATGAAAGACATTCTACAAAATACTAGGCTAGTACTCCTCAAAGCTGCTGACATCATGAAAAACAAGGAAATACTGAGAAGCTCTCAAATCCCAGAACTGCCTAAGGAGTTGTAACAACCACATGTAATGTGTTATCCTTAGGACAGAAGGAAGGCGTTTATGGAAAAATGGGTGAAATCCAAATAAAGTCTAAGTTTGACCAGTAGTTTTAAACCAATATTAACTTCTTCATTTTGACAATATACCAAGGTTATATAATGATGTTAATAGGAAACTGAGTAAGGAACCTTTGTAAAATCTTCGCAAGTTTTCTGTAAATCTGCAATTATTCCAAAAAATATTTTAAAAAGCTATACCACTGCCATAACCTGAAAATAACCAATTATGTAATAAGAAAAAAGTCTTCCTACAATCAAATAGGATGCTTGTCGGGGGAGGGGGACAAGAAAAAACTACAGTCTGTTGTTGATGGCTGTAGAAGACATGAGTAAGTGGGTGGGTAGCATAGACCATAGTCAAAGGAGGAGACCTTTATATAACATTTTCAGTTTTCTCTAAATCGCTCTATGGACATAATAAAACATCAGTCAAAATCCCAATAGGCTAGTTCATCAAGCTGGACAAGATAATCTAAAAGTTGTTTCAAGATAGAGGGCTAAGAATAGCCAAAGACGTTTTTGAAAAGGTAGGGCGGTTGCCCTTTCAGATATCAAAATAATGTAAACCTATAATAATAATGAATGTGGTATGTTAACGCACAGAGAGAGAGTAGACCAGTGAGACAGACTTGAGAATTTTGGAACAGGCCCGTTCATATGCAGAAACACATGTCAGGAGAAAAATTAGATCCCTACCAGGGAACACATAAAGGTAAACATAAAAAAAAACAGAAACAAAAAACTAACAGAATATCTTCATGACTTCAGTGTGGGGAGGGATTTCTTACGGTATGAAAAGGTGGTTAAATTTTACAGCGCCAATACTTAACCACTCTTCCATGACTCTAAAAGATACTGATGGCTCCTCTTCTAACCTTCTGCGTTGTATGGATTTTAGACACATATCTAAGTGTGACTGGGGTAGGGGGCAGGAGGTAATTCAAGATCGCCCTGAATGCTTTGTAGAGACTGTTGGAGGGAAGGGTTTGGAGTGGAAGCAGGAGGTTTAAGTGAGTGGGTGATGAGTACTGTTGTGCAGAGGGAAAACCTGGAATGAACCTGGGATGTGGCTGCAGTGTCGAGTCAGCAGGACTTGCTGATGACCTGGATATTGGTGGTAGGCAAAAGAGAAACAGGAACAATTGTGAGATTTGGGGCTACCACAACGGGTGCTATTTACAGAAATGGAGAAAAGAGAAATTATAGTTTGTTTTAAATGCTTCGAGTTGACAGGTGGGGCATTCTACCTGTTAAGCAGTTTGGATGTATGAGATTGGGCTTCTGTGGCCAGTTTGGTGGCAGAAGATAGAAATTTGAGAGCTAGTGTCATGCAGGTGGTATTTGAACCATGCGACCAGGTGAGACTGCTCTCCAGGGAGTGGATGTTGATGGAGGAGCCTAGTGACTGAGTTCCTGGCATTGAGAGGTCAGCTGAGATGCCAGAGCAGAGGCGGTGGACATGGAGGAGAACCAGGGCCAAGTAGTATCACTGAGAATAAGATAGTATGGGTTTGTGTTATTGTTTGTTTGTTTGTTTGGAAGAAGATGTTGAATGTTACTGAAAGATCAAGATGAGATTATGACCAAATTTTCCCCACCTCATAGAGAATTGTTGGAACTGACAAATGTGGAAGGGATGGAGGCCCCATATGGCACAGCGGGGAGGGAATGTACTGTAAGGCTGTTGAGTCAGTGACAGAAGACTTTTATATGAAGAAGGTTTTTATTTGGGGGCAGGGGAGTAGTGCTGAGAAAAAGGGATAGTAGCTAGAGGAGCCCTTAAAGCATGTAGTATCTGATGGGAATGAATGCTCCAGGATCCAGAGAATTCTGCAGATAGAGAACTTTGAAAAGGAGAGGAAGTGGAGTCTACAGAATGTGTTAAAATCACCTCAAAATCACAGCCAGACATTGTTAGTATCACCCAGGGAGTGCCAAACACACACCTCTGCAGGACCCTGGGCATCCACAGTGGTTGACAGCTCCCCAGGTTACCCTGATGTGTAGCCAGGTTTGAAAACCTCTGACCTAAGGGTAGCGCCACAGGCACTTTTAGGGGCGCCTTTAGGATTTCTGTGGTGAGAAGAGACTGTTGAAGACTTGAGTTTAAAACCCCACCCCAGCCCAAGCTAGGAGATTCTTCATGTAGCAAAAAACTACTGATTTATATTTATACTTTTTAAGTGTAATTTTTATTTTAGACTTAAAACTTACTAAACATAAATTGTAATTTCGTAACCTGCTTTTTGTAATTAACTGTATTTTATGAATTTTTCCTTTAAAATTAAAATCATTTTAATTGGCCATATAAAATTGCAATGTATGGATTTACGAGACTACAATTTAATTTCTCTGCAGAGCACATTTTTTTTAGTAAAATGCCCCATGAATGCACTTGCATATAATCTTTTGCGCATCTTTACTTATTTCCTTTGCTCTAGTTCTTTGAGAGTGAATAACTGGATCAGAGGCTACATTAATGAGCTTTTTATAATTCATTAATTTTACTACCAGGAAAAAATAAAACATATATCTGGCAGGGACATTCAGACAGTATGGGTTGGAGGAGGGAAAAACCCCTCCTTCATCCTCTTCCCCCCCATCCCTCTTCTCTAGAAGTGGCTAGTTAACAATTTCTTGTATACTTTTCCAGATTTACCTGCATAGATGTTCATTCTTAACAAACAAATGAAAACAGTTACTAGTTTATTTCTACAAACTTCACCAGCTTGTATATTTCACTAACTGTACTACAGAGTTACTGATCTTTATTAGCTCTACCTCGCCATTGTCCTGAGTTAATGAGACTTCCCCGTGTCACCTGCCAGTCTCTCACTGTGTCCTACAAGGCGCGGCCGAGCGCGGAGAGGCTCCTGTGCACCGCACTTGCTGGGTCCCGGTTTAGCATTTCTGTAAGAGTCTTGGTCGGGGTTTTTGTCCCTCAGTCTGTTAGCCATTAGCGTTTTCCTGTGGATTGCCAGTTTCCTCCTCTTTTGCCCATTTTTCTGGCTCGGTGTGGTCTTCCTGTTACTAGTTTCCAAGAGCTCTTCATTTGTTAACAAGTGAGCCCCATGTCTCGTGTGTGTCCCTGGCGGAGAAGTCTCGTCTCCTGCTTTCTTGTCTTTACAACTCAGCATACATGTTTTTGCCCGTCGGATTTTAAATTTTTAGACAAATGTACTTTCCCCCCCATGTTCTCCAGCAGTTCTGCACTTTGGAGCCGTGAGTGGGCTTTTCTCCGCACTCCCCCGCCTTTTTTTGTTTGTGTTCGTACAGCCCCTCCACCCACCCCTTTTTTCAGACCCCTCTTTGGGGCCCCTCGCGTGGGCTGCGTTGACGTCAACCTTGGGCACTGGCGCCAAGCGGTCTCCACAGCAACTGTGTTCTGATTGGTAGGGTTGGGGGGCATGGTTGGGGGGCGAACCCAGGGTGGCGCGCGGCCGCTGATTGGCCCGTGCCGGAGCCCCGCCTCTGCGGAGAGCCTCACAAGGAGTCGCGGGCAGCGGTCCTCTGCACACGCCCGGGAGCCGAAGGACCAGGTTGGAGCGGAGGAGCGGACATGTCCACCCGGAGCTGGTGGTGCCGCCGGGCACCGGGGGCCGAGTGGGTGCGCTAGCTAGTACGCGGGCTGCACCTCGCCGGCCGTCGGACCCCGGGTTGTGCCTGCGGTGCGGGGAGGTGAGTCCGACCGCCCGTCCGCACATCCATACCTGGCGGGCGCGTCGGTCACACGCCGCAGGTGCGGGACTCTCGTTGACCAGGCGGGCCGGGGTCCTCAGCGGTGGCTGGGGACTGCCGCGCTTGCCGCAACAGTGCCTTCTTGCGCGGCCGGCAGCCCGGTGAAGGTGGCCGCAGAGTCGGGGGGCTTCGCGCCATCTTGTGGGAGTAGGGGATTGGGTGATGATGGCCTTGGCTGCAGCGAGCTCCTGTCACCATCACCTTGCCAGGGTGGGCATCCAAGGGGTGGCCAGTCCCTAATGAGCATCGATGGCGCCGTTTCGTCTGGGCCCGCCTGTTTTCTTGGCCTGGATTTAGGGGCTGCAGAGCTGTACCCCCATCCCACTGGGTCCATGGTTAGCTAGGTTCCTGGGCTGCTCCGCATCCTTGCTGTTTGGGGGCGGGGCTTGTTTTGCCGCAGTGGCGGTGGGAGGGGCTAAGGCCTCTAAGGGGAGGGACGGAAAGCCCTCCTGCAAACGGAGTTTTTTCTGTGGGCTCGGGAGCTCCGCCCTGATCAGTGTGGGCGGCCACGCGTGCTGCGCAGGTGCCGTTCTGATTGGTTGGCTGGATTGGGGTGGGGTCAAGAACTCGCCGCTGCGGTGCCCTGCGGGCTAAGATCTCGAGGAGCCCCGCCTCCCTTGGCGCCATCTTTGGTGGGGGGGGTGGCGGAGGCTCGCCGGGCGGGCGCAGTTTTGGCGGGCTGGTCGCAGGGGGCGGGGCCAGGAGTTGCGGGGTCCTCCCTTTCTCGCACCTTTTTCTGGTCGCGTGTCTGGCCGCAGAGGCTTGCCGTGGCACTGCCACCCTGACTAGCGTGGGGTATTATGAACTGACTTCTGAAATTGGGCCACGGCTAGTGACCTGGTTTATCGGCCGGGTCCATGCGGCAAGTCTGCCATCGCTGTTGCCGCCGTGGAGCTGTCTGTCCGGAGGGACAGGGCTCTAGGCAGTCATTGTGCCGGGGGGCTACAGAGGCTCACCCCGTCCCCTGTCACCGTCTTTTCAGGACTGTATTCATCCTGGGATGTGTGTGGCTTCCACCTTTTGATTGGGGGGGTAGCTAGGGGTGGGGAAACAGCCAAGGTATATTGCCCAGGCGCTCTGTCAGCTGGGCTGAGGGGCTGGGGTCGTGTACGGTCTTTTGGGGCTGCTGGCCTTGCAGAGCCCCTCCTCCTGTGTAGCTGTACGCACGCTGGCCAACACGGCAGCCAGGGCTTACCGCGCAAGCACAATTATGAATGACAGTAGAGCTGCGGGGGTGGGCTCGAGGGAGGGGCTGCCGACCCCGCCCACGCTGGCACGGAGTTGGTCAACGGGTAGCAGCGGAGACTTACTGTGCAAGCGCCATCTTGAATAACAGCATGGCTGCCTGCAGGGGCTGGGCCCAAGGGAAGGCCGTGTACCTCGAGTGACTGACTGATGGGACCTGCAGCCCCCTACCCACGCCAGCGCTATGGTGGCCAACGAGGCTGACTCTGCAGGCACCACCTTCAATGACAGCGGACTTTCAGGGGGCGGGCCTGAGGGGAGAGGGTGACGTATCTTGACTGGTGGTGGAGGCTGCAGACCCCAGCCCCTCTTAAGGTGTTTGTTGGCCGATAGGTGGCATCAGAGGGTTACTGCCCCGGCGCCATCTTGCAGGACGGTGGACCTGCAGGGGGTGGACTCAAGGGTGGGGCTGTCCTGCTCTGAGTGACTGACAGGGCTACACACACTCCCGCCCACTCTACCACTATAGCGGCTGGCGGGTGGCAGCCGAGGCTCTCTGCGCAGGCGCCATCGGGAATGACAGCAGGGCGGGCTGCAGGGGCCAGGCCTAAGGGAATGACACTCCCTGTCTGGAGTGTCGGAGGGGGCTGAAGCCCCCTCCGTACCAAGTTACTCGGAGGCCAAAGAGGCTTACAGGACATGTGCCATCCTGAATGATGGCAGAGCTGCAGGGGTGGCCTGGAGGTCGCAACCAAGGTTTTCTGCACAGACGCCTTCTTGAATGACAGCAGGGCTGTGAGGACAGACTTGAGGGGCTTCGGTGTCCTGAGGCCGCGGGCACAGAGCCCGCCCTGGCGTGCTCGCTGCACAGGTGCCACCTTGGGCAGCCACATGACCTGGCGACGGGCGTCTTGTCTCCTTTGAGAGGTGCCAAAGCCACGTCAGGAAATGTGGGGACCCGGTTCAGCTGCGTAGTTCTGGGGGTCATTAGAAGAAACCTTGGGCTCAGAATTTAAGAATTGTAATAGATTTGGGGAACGGTAGAATTCTAAGTTGAAAAAAAGGAGGAGGCGGGCTGTGGGTGTAATATCTGGGGTTAGGGGCCTCGGAGGACAGTAGGGGTTACACGAAGGAAAGGCCCGGATTCTGTGGGACAGACTTCGGAGCCGAAGACGGCCACCAGGAGCCATGGTGTGCGGAAGTGAAGAGAGAGGGCGGCTCTCAGCAGGTGGGGGCGGGCCTGGGGCCTCCGGAAGCAGCTCTCAGGCTCTGGGGAAGGGTTTCCTGCCGGGGGCGGTGGGGGGGCGGTGGGGGGGCGGTAGGTCGAGGTGGGCAGGGGAGCGGAGGAAGAGGAGAAGGCAGGGGCCACCCATGCGCAGAGCCACTTGTGCTATCCCTGGGTCCTTCAGGACTGTAGTGTCCAATGCTGATTTTTTCTTTTTTTTTTTTTTTTGACTGGGTCTTTCAGGACTGCATTTTCCAACGCTGGTTTTTTTGAGGTATACATACATCCGCCAGTGTCTGCTGGCATTGACGTAAACCAGAGCCATAGCATGACGCTCGTTCCCCCAGGATCCCCTGATGGAATGCATGCTCTGAGGCACAGAGGGACCTGAAACGTGTAGTGTGAATCTACTGGGAGCATGTTGCGAACCTATTAATGTGTTACCAGAGGTTAAGTAATGATACCATTACCTAACGCTGATAATAGCATTAAGTTCTTAATGTAAGCTAGTCCCTCCATGTTACTTAAGTTTGCATCAGAGTTAAATTTCTGGCCCTGCCTCACTGGCTATTAAATGGCAGAACTGGAGCTTCACTTCATATCTCTAAGGGGTACCTATGTCATTATTCCACATGGTGTCCCTGGGAAATATCAGTAGGTGTACTGTTTTTTTCAAAATTCAAGAGGATGATCCGTAATAGTTTTCCACGAGCTCTCAGACTGCGTTCTTGGAGCTTCTGCTTCTTTTCTGTGAAATGAGAGCTAGAAAGTGAATAGAGCTGTCAACGGAGACAATAAAACTACAGTGCTAAGCACTGTACCTGGCATGCAATTGGCAGTAAATAATATTTTTTTCCTCCAATTTTTAACCTGTGAAATGTGTCATTTGCCTTTAGAGGGTGGCCAGTGCCACGTATCTGATAAGTGAGAAATGGAGTTTTTCATTTAACACAACCCAAAGCCCCGCATCTTTACTGTTTTGCTTTGCTTGTTAGAGAAGGTTCTAAGACACCCAGAGGTTGACTTGCACGCCTGTTGACATAACCTCACTGGGAAAAGGCTGTGACTACAGCCCAGGGCACAACATGGGCCTCGGAGCGCAGTGCCCACATGGCCTGCCATCCTGAGAGGGAAAGCTGTTCTTCCTGCTCTCATTTGACCTCTGTGAGAGCAGGAGAGAAACATACAGCTGTTGTGGGGTCATTTCCCCCGGAGGAGTCCAGCAGTTACAAAGTAAATTTGGTGCTTCATGTTTTCTTTTTCTTCCACCTCCCAGCTCTGCCTTCTTGAACGTCTACGCTTTTCGGAGACAACGCTAGGTGACTGAGTCCAGGTGAGCAGAACTCCCTTCTCGCGGTGCCGCCCCACCCTCGGAGTGAGCACCCCCTTCCTCCTACTGGCACGCATGTCCACATGTCCCATCCACAGGGCTGCGCCACTGTTTGTGCTGAGGATGCACAGACTCTTCCGGTGGATTGTGTGTTCGCCAGAAATTCTCCTTGGCCTCATGCCATCCTTTTTGGGTGTCTTCTTCTCCCACACTCAGCTATCCCTTCAGGCCTACCCTTTTTCTCTTATTGGGTGATTAAAGAAGTATGAGAGACTCATTATTTCGCTATTAAACATGGCCCCAGGAAGGAAGGAAAGTGCTTCCTTGGAGCTCATAGTGTATTAAGTGAAGAAAGACATTGAAAATAAGTAATTGTGTGACTCATGCCTTCAAAGAGAACACTCACTATAGGTAGTTACCTGAACCTGGAGGAGGCCCTGTACGGTCTCTCCCTAAGAAAGTCAGGGACGTGGAAGTCAAGCCTTGAAGCGTAATGGGTGGTAATGTGTCAAGGAGAGGGGACATGGGCGTTCCTAAGGGATCCAGAGAGGAGCTGAAAGTCCAGGATGCCTAAGCAAAGGAAAGAATAGGACGGCATTTGATGGAGGTGGGGAAAAGGTAAACTGGGGTTGCCCTGTGAAAGGCCTTGCAGTCTATGGTAAGTACCTGGGCTTGATCCAAAGCACAGTGGGAAGCCATTGAGATTTTTTTTTTTAATCCTTACCCAAGGATATGTTTATTGAGTTTAGAGGGAAAAGAAGGTCGGGGGGGGGGGGACATTGAGTGGTTGCCTCTCATACGCACCCTGACTGGGGTTCGAACCTGCAACCTAAGTATGTGCCCTGACTTGGGGGTCGAACCTGCAACATTTTGGTGTCCAGGATGGCATTCTAACCAACTGAGCCATCTGGCCAGGGCCCACTGAGATATTTTAACCATGAAGATAACATGTTAATTGGATTTTTGTTTTTCAAATGTCATCTGGTTGCAGGGTTCAGAAGGGGAAGGTAGAAATAGTGGGTGCTGTGAGACTCCCCTCAGGTCTGGATGCGGGATGGTGCCTTGGATTAAGGGTCACAGCAGTGGGTAGATGAAGTGGATGGATCTGAGAGAGGTAAGAAGGAGAGAGACTCAGGAGGGCTGTACTCTGTCCAAGGCTTGCTGACGGATTTGGACCAGACTTAGTGAATCATGTTACCTGGGGAAGTGAGCAAAATAAGCTTGTTCATTTTGCCAGCAAGTGTTAATACTAAGCCTGATCTGGGACAGGATCATGCTAGATTTTGGGTCTCTGGAAGTGAGTGCCAAAATCACCGGCCTCAGTGTCTCCTGAATGAGAACTTCAGTTAAATGTAGAGGAAGAAAACATGTTTGCCAAGGTAGGTGGCTATACTGATGGCTTATTACCAACGAAGGCAAGGCTAACATGCTGTGCCAAATGGGCCTCTGGGGACGGCTTGGCTTATTCCTGGTCTCGGTGACTGCTCCGGGTATCCATGTCTGGTGCTCGGAAGCCTTCCTTTGCCTGAGAACTTACCTTATGTTGGTAGAGTCACATTAATGAAGCCCAGGAGACTTCCATAAGCTATACCGACATACTGGTTTTATGTGGAGAAACAGTTCACTCAATTTTGGTTTATTGATTTCTTATGGGAGATCACTGTAGCAGAGACCGAAATACTCAAAAGTATGTGTGATCAGCAGACTTTCTCCCTGTAGGCAGACCAACAAGGGGAATGAAACCATAATGGGAAGGTTGCTTGGTGAGTATGGAATCAGAACGAGAGCAGGTGGACAGACTTGAATAACACTGGCCTGCAAGGTAGCAGTGCCACCATCTGGGTGCAGTGAAGCTGCTGACACCAGAAGCCCTCTCTCTCCAGCCCCCACGCCCCCAGTCCATTCAAGTTAGGTCTGATCGGGGAAACCCCGCCACAATGGACAACAATAAAGAAATTTTGCTGCAGTGTGGGTAAGTGCTAAACGGAAGTGGTAGAGGTAAGCCCAAGGTGACGTGGAGATGATCTGAGAGGAGCCGCCTCACGGACCAGAGGCTGGTGCAGTAGGGTGGTGGTCACTTACTACTCGCTCACATTCCTGCGTAAGATCGTTACTCCAACAGCCCCCCTTGTCCATACGTGCCTGTGTGTGGTTGATTGGACCAGACTGGACCCCGAAGCCTAGGGCAGTGGTTCTTAGCGTACACACAGCTCCCGGAGTGCTTGTTGGAATGCCGCTTTCCTGGGGAACCACACCCCCACTACATGGTCACACCTGGAAAGGCAGGTGCAGTTTTCTTCCCCAAGTGTGAGAGCCACGGCCCTGGAAGGAGTCGGCTGTGGTTGCACTCAGACCCACAGACTGTTTAGCTGGCAGCGTCGAGGGCCTAGCCTGGGGGGTGAGGTAGACGGGCTGGGCAGCGTCTCCTCCACGTGCGTGCTGAAGTAGAGGGTGTCGGTCTGCAGAGAGGCAGGAGGATGGCACGCAGCAGGAGAGAGGAGAGACCACACCCTGCGCTGTCCCTGGGAAATGAAGACGGTAACTGCCTGGGTTCCTGACTTGAAGGTTCTCAGGTGTAGCCCCTTTTAATGAGGTAGGTAGCACGAGTGAGGGGCCAATGCAAGTGCGCTGTGATGAGGGACCAGAGTAAGTAACACAGGCTCGCAGGAGGTTCCATGGGGCTCCTCTCAGCACTGACGGGAGGTGGGAGCCTGCAGTCAGTCAGGCGGTGGGGTCACGGGGTTGCTTCGCCTCTCCTCACATGTCCCAGCCACAGGTACAGCCTCTGCTATGGGACGTTTGAGTCATTGACCACCCACCCCCCTTGTGGCAGGGGTGCCTGATGAAGTTCATCTTTGGTTGTCTCGGTTACATTCATTGTGAGAACATACTTTTGTTTTCTGTATATGTTTACAAAATAGAAGCAAAGTGCTATATATTCCAGTGGCATAAATATCGCAGCGCACACCACAATGATGACCCCGTTGTCCAACAGGCAGAGCCACGGTTCTGTGGTTTTCAGCGGTCCAGCTCACGTGCAGCACTGCACACAGCGCTAATTCTGCACGCATTTCATGCATACATGCCTGGTGTGTGTACAAACAGGTCTTGGAGATGGAAGGACAGCTAGAAACCCATAACCCCTGCCCAGGGGGAGAGAGAGAGAGACTTTGTTACTGGTTCCCAGCGTTAAAAAAATAAGTTTATTGATTTTAGAGAGACATCATTTGGTTGCCTTATACATGCCCCAACCAGGAACTGAACCCATAATCCAGGCATATGCCCTGATTGGGAATGAAACTTCCAGGCTTTTGGTGCCTGGGGTGACACTTCAATCAACTGAGCCACACCATCCAGGGCTATTCCCATCATTTTTCTTTTCTCTGTTCCTCCCCTTGGAATTGGTGGCCTCTGTTGGCTGCTAGGACCAGAGTTGGACCTGGTTCTTGTGTGTACCCCCCTTTGTCCCCTGAATGCGGTCAGACTTTTAAAAGTCCTACCCATGAAAGGCCATTGCACTAAAAAATTTCAAACAAGGAATGAAAACAAAATTTTTATTAGAATGTTATGTTTTTATATGTTAAAAGAAATTTTGTTTTCTGATTACAAACAAAAGGCAGTGCAACATTCAAACAGTAGAGAATATTTAATGTAGAAATGACAAGGCACACCGATCAATGCTGAAGTAGAGGGTGTCGGTCTGCAGAGAGGCAGGAGGATGGCACGCACCAGGAGAGGAATATTTTTTTTTTTTTTAACTAAAATGAGACAACACCATGAGTTCTGCACGTGTGTATATGTATTCTTAAGCCCAGTAATTTTTGATGACTGTCCACACTAGTGCACACAGATTTACATCATTTTTTTCTGAAAACCCCTCAGTATCCTAGTCTTTGGATGCACCAATGTACTTAAACAAATTAAAATATGGCACACAAATTAAGCGAGATGAAAACTTCCATATAGACTTGTTATAAAGACTACTCATAAAATGGGGAAAATTAGAAAAAATAAATGATTAATAAAAGATACTTCCATTTCTTTTTGCATTTCAATTTAGAGTGTTCACAGTCAAAAAACTTCAATATAAAATGGGAAGTTTAGTTGCTGCTTGTCTTTCCCTTGATATTCCTGTGCATTTATGCTTCCAATGGAACTGGATTCTCAGTTTGTCAAAGCTCCCACCTTTTCATTGGATTTTCATTTATGTTTTAAGTAAATGAATGTGTTCTTACAGTTTGTACAATTGTTATGTCCTATTTTGCACTTAAACTATCTTAGAGATCATCTCTTATCCATTTATGTACAATTGCCTCACTATTCGAAAAGGTCTCGTAATCACTAGATGAATGGTAACATATTTTGTCCATTATCAATGACTTCAATGCGTATATTCTTGCACCATATATCATGTAGCTCTGGGATCAATCCATAGAAGTAGAAATTATAGGATAGGATATGTACATTTTCATTTTTGATAAGTAGCCAAATTACCCTCTATAAAATTTACATTGCCACAAGCAGTATATGAGAATGCTAATTTCTTTACACATACATGATGAATCTGTTCCCAAGGCCCTTTTTTACTCTGAAATGAATTTCCTCTGCCATTGTGAGAAAGAGTAGTTAAGGTTCATCATTTGTAAGGTTTTTCTGTTAAAAATCCTTCATTTTTTAATGGCTGTTTTGTTGGCTTGGTCATAAAATCTTGAGCACATTTAAAAAGATCATAATCTGTTCACTTTAATCCCTAGTTTCTTGAGAAAAGGAATGAGTGAATTTTTGGCATGGAAATTGGGAATAACTTTGCAACTGGATACTTACAGGCATTCAGATAGTCTTATTATTAATGAGCTAGGAGTCCTTCCTGTGATCTGGAAGGTTTTCATAACATGGTGAATACTTGCTCATGAAAAGTTTATTGCCTCCCTCGATTTTCCTCTGCTTCTTGGGGCATATTTGCCTGTTTACATTTTCTTTAAAAAAACAAAAACAAAATTGGTGACTCCCTATCAAGTTTTTTAAGCCTTCACGTATTATAGTTTTCACCTATTGGTGATTTATGTTTTTTAAATATATGTGTATTGGGGAAAAAATTAATAGAGAAGTCTGTAGGAAGTCAAGGTTGTCCTTAATATCAGGTTAGAAGAGCCCTTTCCTGCTCTTAGATAATAAAAATTAGTCTTTTCTTGATTTATTTCATTTTGATTTTAGTTTTTTTTTTAAGAGAGAGAGAAAGGGAGAGAAAGCATCAATGTGAGGAACATCAATTGGTTGCCTTTCATATGTACCCCAACCATGGACTGAACCTGCCTTCTAGGCATCTGCCTGACCGGGAATCAAACCAATAACCTTTTGCTTTGTGAGGCTAGTATGGCCAACCAACTGAGCCATACCTGTCAGGGCTCATTTTGATTTTAGATTTAACATTTTTATATATGGTATGATCTTTTCCCCCAAGTTAATGATTGGCTAGTTTTACTATTCCTATTTATTAAAATAACCCATATAGTCCTTACTATTTTTAAATGCCATTTTCATAGACTATCACATATTCAACTATGTATAGTAAACTCATGATTCTTAAATGAATCAGTCTTTGTCATAAATAGCAAGTGGTTTTCTTGTTTTGTTCTTTTATTTTTTTTTTTGGCTTTGATGGTATAGACAAGACCATCATTTGTTATTTTTATTTCATCTTTCTGTCTTTAGGCATCATACTGTAAAAGAACTTTTTTACCCTGAGATTATACTAATATATCTCTTAAATTTTGTGTTTGGCTTACTGGCCTTTTGACATGAATTTTCAGAATATTGATCCAAATGGAATTCTTCCATTTCAGCTTAGAGCCATTGTCAAGTTCCTGTAATTTTTTGAAATTCAAATAGGTTAATTTGGGGGAGGGTTTAGAACTTCAATGTACTGGATTTATACATCTCACATGACTATCCTGTGTCTCTGTTTATCACCTTTTATATTGCAATATAATTCACGTAGGTGCTATTTTAAAATTGATTTTGGAGAGAAAGAGAAAGGGAGAAAGAGAAATGTTAATTTGTTGTTCCTTTTTATTTATGCATTCATTGGTAGATTCTTGTATGTGCCCTGCCTGGGGATCGAACCTACAACCCTGGCATATTGAGATGATGCTCCAACCAAGTGAGCCACCCTGCCAGGGTGATGCTATTTTCATTAAATCTTTTTTATTTTTATAATGGAGTTCTTTCTACTTTAGAAGTTGTTATTGGTGATACATAGTTAAGGACACATACAAGTGATTTCCTTATTAAATTGTATGACCAATTTCCATTAATTTATAATGTCTGAGTGGACAGTCTTACATAAGAGAATGATTGTTTTGTGTCTTTATTTTTTCTTGTAATTGGCTAGAACTCTATAGAATGATGTTCAATAACGATAGCGTTAAGACTTTCTATGTGTGCTTTTGTGAGTGAGTTTGGTCGGCAGTTAGTGCTAATCTTTGCCTTGGATTTTTGAATTCTGGTTTCATAACAGCAGTTTGAAAGTGCTCTATCTCTTTTCTCTGGTTGGATTCTGTGACATGGGAATCGGCCTCTTCTTGAAAATGATATAAAAGGCCTCACCCCTCTCACCCCTTATGATATCCAAGTCCACAGCCATTTGGAGAACTCTCTGACACTCTTCTTACATTTCTTCTGTGTTTATTGGTCCATGTATTTCTTCCTTTAAAATGTCTGCAGGTCTGTGGCATTGTGACTCTGTTCCTGTGGATAGTGGCTTCTTCTGAAGTTCCAGAAAGGATCCTATTCCCAAACAGGTGATTTACATACGTAGCATGTCCTGTGGCCTCTGAGAGGCTGGGCTGGTGTCCCGCAGTGGACCTGGATTTTCTCTTGAACCTGGACGCCCCAGGGCAGGCGTGGGCTCTGTGCCCTCCCACGTCCCATACAGGCATGCTGGCTTTTGAGGACTCTGCTCCTGTCAGCGGCAGTCCCTCTGAGCGAGGTCCTGGGTAAAATTGTGCCATCATTCAACATGTCACTGCAGTGCTCCAAAGCCGGGACACTTGCCCTTTCCCCAGCTTTAGAATTCTTCCGCTCTGCAGGGTATTACCTAGTACCCTTCTCTCTCTTCTGAGGGAGGGCAGGCAGGGAGGGAGGGGTCAGGTCACCACGGCCCTAGGGGGGTGGCAGTGGGAGGACTGTGTGTGTGGCAGCGCAGAGCCGCCCGCCACAGTGAGGAGAGGGTGCGGGACTGCGTCTCCTACATTTGTTCCCAGATGAGAGAGTCTAGTTTGAGACTCAGAATAATTGAAACACCTTTTTCTTTTTAGACTTTTTTTAAAAAAAAAATTCAAACTCCTAGCTTTTAAAACAAAAGCAGGGCATTTTTGCTGCGTATGGTTTTCTTCTCTAGAAGTAAAGCCAGAGTAAGTTAATTCAGCCGCTCAAACTGAGACTTGTCCTGTGTATGGCCTTCCTTAACACCAGTTGTGGCTGATCAGTAGTAAAAGGCTACGTGATACACCTTACATGCAGGCAAAATGGTGTGGGCGCAGGGAATGCATGGCTTTCATTGGTTACAAGAGAGTTTAAAAGAAAGCTTGAAAGTCAGCTTTTATACTGTCTAAACAGTCTGTTTTTAAGGGAAGCAGATGATTAAAAATCAAGACAACTAAGCAAATACATGAAATAATACAGAAGATTATCAAAGTAGAAAGCCGCATCTTTGAAGACAGACAGTAGATCTTTGGAAGGCTGCCGCAGAGGCCTGTGCGCAGCATGGGGAGGCCTGGAGGTCACTCAGGCCCCTCCCCACTGTTTACATGAATGCCGCAGCCTTGCCACCTGCGTAGGGTTTCTGTGGATTCACCAGTATTTCATTTCATGTCGTCCCCCCGCCCCCCGCAAAACCAGTGTACAGGGCCCCATTGTAAGACCTACCAATGCTGTCGTCCAGGAAGTATGGGGAGAGGAGTGGGCAGGTCTGGGTGAGTGACCCCCAGAGAGCTCTTTGGGGCAGTGGCATAGAGGGTAAGCCAGGGCGTTGCCTCCCGCTGGAACTGCTGTGCTTCTGCAAGCCAGCGTCCAAAATCAGTTGTAAACTGGGTTGCCCACGTCACCCTTGGCATGCTGTGTCAGCGTGGATACCCGGCTTTGTGTCAGCTGGTCATCGCCGGTCTCTTCGTGGGGGTTACAGTTCCTGTGGGAGGCAGGAAAGTTAACGCCAGAGTTTCAGTAGAATCGGTGTTTGGAACACGCAACAGATGAAGTGAGTCCCAGGAAAGATACCCAAGGGGGTGGTGTTGGCACAAGCCTGCAGCTAGGTTTGGGGACAGACACCGGCAGACTCAGACACTGGACAGCCACTCTGGCCGACAGAACATCCCAAGATGGTGGACCTGTCATGTGCTGTCCGGTACCGGAGCCACTCACCCCGGAAGTGTGGCTCACGTGATGGGGAGCTGAATTTTTCATTTTATTGACTTTGAACGCCCCAGTTGCTACAGCAGCACAGGTGCAGAGTTTCCTGCAGTCACGTTCCCTGGAGCTGAGTGCTTCTAACATGTCATGTGGCTTTCTATCTTTTACGTGTTGTCTGCTGCCTTAACAGTGGCATGACTGCAGACATGCTCAGAATTGGCAGCATTGGCCCCCGTCCCCCAATGCCCTCCGTCCATTTTTGCAAAGAAGAAAACCGACACCCAGTTCTAGTAATGCCAACACCTTGACATGTCCCCTGTGCCAGGCGTTAGGAGGTGAGTCCTCTTAGGTATATCAGCTTATGGAAGCTTCACGGCTCTAAAGGGGAGGTGGGTCTGTTGTTCCTTACTTGCAGATATGGGGAGAGACGCCAGGACATTGAGTAAGTTGCCCAGGGTCACAAAACCATGACTAACTCCTCAGTCTGTGCGGGGCCCAGAGCTCACGCCTGCAACTCGGTGTCCTGTGTGTGTGTGTTGGGGGATTTGCGCACCTCTTTGCCTTGGCTTGTTCACAAAAGCATTGTTGATGCTCCTTGTAGGGCAGCCCCCCCCCCCCCCCCCCCCCGCCTGCTCCTCCTCAACTTCTGGGACATGTGTATATCTCCTTACGATCTGCAGGTCCCTGAGTACTGACTGTCACAGGCTGCTGCGTCTTTCCTGTTGACTCATGTTTGGTTGCTCCACTGAAAATTTTACTTAGAGAAATGCTGCCTCCAAAGTACTGGTCCGCCAGCAAGCCCAGGAAGTCTTGGGCCCCAGATCTGTATGAGCTAGACAGTGACATGACTAAGGAGCCGGATGCCATCATAGGAGAAGGTGCAACTGACTCTGAATTCTTTCATCAGAGGTTTCGAAACTTCCTCTACGTGGAATTTGTCGGGCCTCGGAAGACCCTGATCAAACTCCGAAACCTCTGCCTCGATTGGTTGCAGCCAGAGACTCACACCAAAGAGGAGATTGTGGAGCTCTTGGTCCTTGAGCAGTACCTGACCATCCTCCCAGAAAGGATCAAGGTTTGGGTGCGAGCCAAACGGCCCCAGAGCTGTGAAAAGCTTGTGACTCTGCTGGAGAGATACAAGGAGATGTATGAGCCGGAAGGTGAGACCACGAGGAGGCCGGGCCCGCGGGAGGCCGCGTACCCCCAGCGTCTCGGCCCTGGTGCTGCTCCTGCTCTGGGCCAGGCCACTCTCTTCGTGGGAGGGCTGTCCTGTCGTAGGGTGTGGAGTGGCACCTGACTTCTCCACCCACAAGATGCCAGTGGTACTTCCCCAGCTGTGACAACCACATGTGGTGTGGCCAGAGACCCCGGTTAGAACCCCCCGCCCACTGCCCTGGGGTGTGAGGGAAAGGAGACGCTTCAGTGCATGGGCTTCCGTGAGGAGCCGGCACGTGCCTTGCGCTCTGGCCCCAGTTCCCGTCTGTAGACGTATGGGTGCGGTGCCCCAGGAACTTGTACGTGGCTGCAGTTGTTGGAGGTGAGGTAGGTGCAGTCATAGCCGTGTCCCCACCCAGGAGGGGTGGGAAGCTGAGGCAGGATGGGCGCACAACACTCGAGCTCCTCGTGGAGGTGGGATTGGGGGGCGGGGCAGTCCTCTTCACTTAGGGAAACTCATGAGAGTGTGGGCAAGAGACGGTCAAACGCTAAGCGGGTGTCTGGTGTCCTCTCAGACAACGGCAGTGACGTCCACAGTGAAGACGACATGGGCCGAAAGGGAGCCGAGTCCCCCCTGCCACGCTCTGCCTATTTCTACAGTGAGTAACCAGTCAGGTTATGCCGCCTATGGGGCGTGTTTCCAACCTTCAGCCCAGTCTGTCCAATGCGCGCAGGTGCACGACGGGCTTCAGGACCCCAGCAAAGGTGGCCTCGCCTTCCCCAGGGCAGCTGCTGCTGCTGCTCAGAGACCTGATGGGTACTTAGAATAACTGAGGACAAAATGAGGCATTTTGGTATCAAAGCAGACACGAATTTCTGGAGCGAAAGGCAGTGTATATATATTTTTAATGATAGAAGTATTTCAAGCGGGAAGTTTGCGGGAGGCTCTTTCAAGCCTGGGGAGGCTGCGGCTGTGACCATAGCCTTCCCAGGAGGGGCAGAGCTCCTCAGCCCGTTGCTTCCAAAGCCATTTCATTTGTTAAAAGCTTCCTAAAAGGAGTATTGCTTTTGGGGAGGGCGTGTGTTTTCTAAGTAGAGAATGTGCGCATTAAGAGTCACTCGGGTAAGCCAGACAGCAGAGGGGCTGAGGTCCATTCTCCTGGGTGTGGACTTGATTGTGTAGGAGGTGGGAAACTGGCAGAAGTGTCTAAAGCTTCGAGACTTGTTTTAAAGCAAGCCCCACTTAGGCCAAGCCTCCTGAAACAGTGCTCCAGGTCTAGGGTGATGGAAAGAGTCCAGATCACCCTTGAGTGTCTCGAGACCCCAGGCGCAGATGTATTTCCTCAAGGCAGGAGCAAGGGTCGTGTTCCTCTCTGAAGGGGGGTGTACATGTGGAAGAGTGCTTTGTTCACTCCTCGAACGTCTGGCTTTCTCAGGGGACCGGGACAGGGATTGGGACCAGGACTGGCATCGTGACCGAGACTGGGATTGGGATCGTGACCGAAACCGGGACTGGGATCGGGACTGGGATCGTGACCGAGACCGGGACTGGGATCGAGACCGGAATTGGGATCGTGACCGGGACCGGGACTGGGATCGAGACCGGGACTGGGACCGGGCCTGGGAACGAGACCGGATGCGGGAGCGAGACTGGCTGCGAGAGCGAGACCGGATGCGGGAGTGGGACCGGAGGGGCAGAAGCAGGGACCTGGAGTTTCGAGAGCGCTGGCCATACACCAGGAGTCCCAGAAGGAGTAAGTCCTGCGTTCTGCCCTGCTCCCTGCTGCGCCTGCACAGTTGGCGGGGCCTTTTCCTTCAGGATGCCTTTCCCTTCCCAGGATTTCCGCAGCGGGATCTTTCCCTTCCTATGATGGAGAAAACGACTTTTGCCACGGAAAGAGGGCGCAGGCGTAGGAACCTCATGATGGAGTATGAGTCGGAATCCCAGGTATGCTTAGGTTTCCTCTCTTCCGGGAAAGGCCATCTTTATTTCAGGACAGAGATGCCTTTCTTTCCCACAGGGGTGTGTTCCTCCCCTAAAATTCCATCTGGATGGCGAAGCCCCAGTCACTCCCTGAAAGGATCCCAGGCCTGTCCCCAGAGGAGACACGTGGCTGGGGTGACTGCTACCCATTTCCCGATTCACCCACTTAGTCACAGGAGCTCTTTCCCACTCGACACTTGTGTCACTTGGTAGGGCTGTCATGCTGGCTGTTCCCTAGTGGGCCGGGGAAGCAGGGTGATCTGGAGAACTTTCTGGCCCTCATTAGGGAGCCAGGGAAGTTGCAAATCCACAGGGCAGACTGGCGAGAGAAAGCAAAGGCTCTGGAGCTGACAAAAGCTGCGTTTAAGCCCAGCTCTGCCACCTGCTAGCTGTGTGGCCTTGGATCATTTCCTGAAGTAAGCCAAACCTCAGTTCGCTCATCTGTAAAATGGGTGCGGTAAGGAGTGAATGAGATTCACACACGTGTGCGAAGTGCTGACGCAGCGCTGGCACAGCGAAGGCACACGCGCGATGCCAGCAGGTAGGCAGTCGTTGTGTGAGGCAGTGCGCTAGGGAAACTCGTGAAGGGAAAGGATGTGGCATTGGAGCTGATGCTGAAGGAGCCCTTCAGTGGCCTTAAGGAAGGTCTCTTGTGACCCAGCGGTGCGGAGGAAGGCCACCACATGGACAGGGCTTAGCCTGTGTCTCCTTTGACATTTAGGCACCTGCCTAGGTTAGGCCCTGGGGAGTATGGGGGTGACCAAGACAGAGTCCTGGCCCTGGAGGCTTTCAGTCTTACAACACTCAGCACAAATGAACCTCCGTATGCAGGGTGCATCTGACGGCTGATTGGCCTAACCCTTAGCCCGCGTCAGTGCGGGGTAAGGGGAGTTCAGGCATTAGGGAGAACCTGGGTAAAGGCTTTGAAGCAGGAACGAAACACAGGCTAGACTGGCTAGAACGCAGAGGGCATGAGACTCGAGCCGCCCTGGGAGCGTGGGTGGGCCCGGCCCCGGGCCTCCGGGAGCCCAGCAGAGCACCCCGGTCTGTCTCCAGGGCTCCGAGGTGGGTTGATGATCGTTCCTGTGGTGGGAGGTATTCGATGGGTCAGATGGCGGAAAGCTTTGAATTCTACGATGAAAACCATCATTTGTCCTCTGTCCTGGAGGTGGGCAAGGACCTGCAGATGTGTGTGAGGATGAGTATCCCGGTGTTGAAAGCAGAGCTTCTGCAGCAGCAATGCATCGGCGGGGCCATCGCTGATGGGCGGGGTCAGAGGTGACCCAGGTCCTCCCAGCCCGGATGTGGGTTATCATATCCTTGTTGTCTTGGGGAAAATACCCTCAGCTTATAGCATACTTAGTCTGTCACGAATTTTGATTTCTTACTTGGAGAAATCAAATTGACCAAAATTTTAGGAATCTACAAAAACGTTACCTTTTTAACATAGAAACTTTTAAACTCGATAATGAAAAAGAAACCTCCCCAGTACGCACGTGCTGCCTGGGAAGGTGGTTCACTGATTTCTGAACACTGTCCTATGAGCCGATGACTAAGTATGCAGTGATCTGTGGGGAATGTCTTCATTTGGGGAGGTGTTAAAATACTCACGAATTGAAGGTTAGGAGATTGGTAGTCGGATTTTGTCTCATGTTGATTTTCAAATGCCCGGCCTTGATACTAAAGAGTTGACCCCATTTCTGTGTAGGCCACTGGTTCCCACTTGCCCAGTGTGTTAGAAATAGCAGCAGCCAAAGATATAAACTACATTTTGGGGGTGTACCAAACAGGAAGTTCTCACCTTTTAGCATTGCATGTATCTCTTACTGGTTCTCTGGATAGCATCTATTCACGGGGGACTTGATTGCAGCTTGTACAAAGTTAGGTACCGTTGCTGATTACAAACACAAAGTGAACTACTGCTTTAGAGCTTCCTACTTGGAATAGCTTATCAGTTTTACATCAAAGCATCATTTTTCTTTCATAGGAACAATAGCATTCAAAATTTAGTGTACATTTATTTCACTCAGAATAGGCAAACGGAGACAAAGATAGGAAAAATGTCCCTTCCCTTTTGCCATTGCCACTGGGGTCTGTCATCACCAGAGATGGTGACCCTTCTGACTCCCTCTGTCCCCCAAGTTCTTGACCTCGTTTGCTCTCTGCCAGCCCCTGAGTTAGGAGCTCTGGTCTCCCTGCTCTCTCGCAAGTGCACCTTCACTATTATAAAAGCAGGGCTGAGACTTGAGGAAGCGCTGTTGTTGCAAACCTGAGCACAGCGGAGCTCTTGCTCTGGAACTTGCCATCTGATCCACAAAAATGATACATTTTAGCCGTACAGGGTGCTAATTATGCCAATTTTGCAATGCCTCCTCAGCTTTTGTAGCTTGTTTGTTGCCCTGGAAATTCTCAGCCTTAACCTAGAGTTTCATATTTGAAGCTCTGCTTAGTTTTGGCGCTTTTTGCTGTTTAATTACTGGATGCGGGCACTTGCTTTCCTCCTAAATCCCTGTGCCTGTGCTTATTTATCTTTCTGAATAAGAGATGCACCTAATTGCACACGCACTCTTTCTTGCTGAATTTCCACGGGGCTACAATGTCCATGCCGCTTCCAAGCCATGGAATGATAATAAATTATCAAAATATCTTTATGTAATAGTTTACAGTAAAAATAATACACGTTTTCTGTATATAATTTTTCCTAATATTGAAACCACCCATCACATTGCAGAACAGCCTCACCCACGATACTGCAAGGCAGGCTGATGCCCTTCTCTCCATTTTACAGATGAACTGGAGGCTCAGAAAGATTTCTGTTCCCAAGGTTGCACGGCTCAGAAATGGCGCAGTGCTCCTCGAACCCTAGTTTTCTCTAGCTCCGAAGCCTGTGGGCTTCCCGCAGCACCAGCTCCCTCCTGCAGTCTGTCCCCAGGCCGGGGTGCCGTCCTCCCCAGGGCCAGCACCCCCTGAAAGCCGTCATGTTCCAGTGCAGCGATAAGCAAGGGCTCTGCAGGATTCTGTATAGAAGACTCTCCTGAGTAATACAGGGAATTTAATAGTTCTTCCTAGGAAAATATCCATTAAGGTAGAAAAGGCAGCGATGAAATGAAGGTACTCAGTGCTTAAGTGACTCCTGGGTTATTTGGAACCTGTACACACCTAGAGAAGCCCACAGTGTAGCTTCGTTGTACAAAGGGGGTGTGTGCAAGAGGTGGGTGGGGGGACAGGCTGGGGGGCGAGGCTTAAGACACACCTCCTGACCACATGTCTGCTAAAACACATTTTCTTCCTGTCCCCCGCGTGTGCCATGCATGGTTGATGTTCAGCCTGTTGAAGCTTTCCCAGCAGCCCCCTTTTTCTCTGTCAGAATCTCACCCGCCACTTAAGGCCCCGCCCAAGGCCCTCTGCGAAACCTTTGCTCACTAGTCCCGCCCACCCTGACCTGTCCCTCTGCTAAACCCGTCTAGCGCTGATTATCTGTGCCCCACTTTATTGTTTATTGTTCTCTGATTGTTTCATGAGTCTTTTCTCTCCAACCAAATTATAAGCTGCATGAGGGCAAGGAATATGTGTCATACGTCTTTTGGATCTTCCTCAGAGTATAGCACCAAGGTAGGTACAAAGTAGGTCCCTAGTAAAACTTGACTTGGATCACTCAGAACCCCAAATGCTGTGAGCACTTTCTGCATACCTTTGTGTGTGTAGCTCCCATGTTGCCAGCATTCCTCTCTCTTTGGATGCCCATGGGAGCTGACTCCACTAAGAGGTCCATGTTTGCCATCCTAGGATACAGGGTCATACCAGGACGTTTTGGACCTCACCGAGGACAGGAGGCTTCAGAACCCAATTCAGGACAACATGGAGAACTACCGGAAGCTGCTTTCACTGGGTGAGCTGCTGCTTCTCCCCTCATGGGAGCCTTTTGTCACCTTACTCTCTTTAATTGCAGGACATAGAGTCCATGTTGATATATTTGACTTCAAGGGTGATAAGAAGCCTTTAAAAGATTTCAATCAGAAGAATAACTGAAGAGATCTGTGTTTCTAAGAAATTGTTCTGGCTCTGGGTGAAGGCCATATTGTACAAGGTGGAGGGAATAGAAAGATGGCGCTTGCCACAAGCATTGATACTTTTCTCAGAGTGGTGACAGCAGAGATTTTTATATACACACTTAGAACAAGATCCTGAGCTCCAGTTTGGACTGTCCTACAAGACAACCGGCGTGGTCATAGCAGGCAGTTGGCTCTGCAGGTCCGGTGTGGGGAAGAGAGAGCTGTACCAAGAGTGTTGTGTAAGGCAGTAGAACCTTGAGATGCTCGAGTATTTGGAGAAGAGGTGGGGAAGCAAGAGTTGTGAGGTAGGAGAAAAACCATGGAGGCCAATGAAAAAGTATTATCAAGATTTAGCAGGTTGTTGTGAGAAGGCAAAGCCTGAAGCGGGTACACTGAATTTAGGGACACATGAATGTCTATGCACAAATTTGTAGGTGGAGTCAAGAAGGCTAATTAAGATTCAGACTAGATGGTAGTAAGGAAATGAGACTGCAAATAGAAGACATCCAAAGGATTGGATATGAGCTACTTCACATGTAGTGGCTCAGAGAAAGACAGACATCAATTTATGGTGATGAGTCTTGGTCCCCTACTTGAGTATGAGCTGTCGTATTATTGTGAACAGGGGTTCAGCTTGCCGAAGACGATGGCCAGTCCCACATGACACAAGGCCATTCAAGGTCAAAGAGAAGTGGCTACCCAAGCACCAGTCGAGGTAAGCACTAGGCAGATATATGTAGTGGCCACTTTAATCAATGAGAAGGGCACTATATATACATACAGTAAGTCCTCACTTAACGTTTTCTGTAGGTAGTGCGACTTTACATGAAACAACGTCTAACAAAACCAGTTTTACCATAGGCTAATTGATACAAACAGAGTTAACTTCCTACGGCATCTCATCCATGGTAAAATGAAACGACGTTGAACGAAATGACGTTACTGGAGGACCAGCTGTACTAATAAACCTTGAACAATTTATATTCGCACCACTATCGCAGAAGTCCTGCTGTTATTTTGCACAAGTACAGGAACTAGGGAGTATTTACATTTGCTGTTTCTTTTCAGGTCTGAAAACTATGCCTGAAACCAAAAAGTCAACCCATCGCCGGGGAATTTGTGAAGATGAATCTTCCCATGGGGTGATAATGGAAAAATTCATCAAGGACGTTTCACGAAACTCCAAATCCGTAAGGGCAAGGGACTCTAATGATCGGTCACTGAGGTTCCCCAGAAGGCCAGACCATGACTGGAAAGACGTTTCCTTCAACAAGAGGGAGTCATTGATTCAGGAGAGGGGCTATGAAGGGAATGCCTTTGGGGGAGGCTTTAATTGCAACTCAGACCTTGTTTCCAAAAAGAGAGTTCTTGAAAGAAAAAGGCGCTATCAGTGTGACGTAGATGGGAAGGGCTCAATTCATGATCAGAGAGGCTGTCCAAAGAAGAGACCCTTTGAATGTAGTGAAATGAGAAAAGCCATGAGCATGAGCAGCCTGAGTTCCTCCTCCTTCACCGAGTCGCAGCAGCTTGATTTTGGGGCCATGCCCTATGTGTGTGATGAGTGTGGAAGGGCTTTCGGTGTGATTTCTGAGTTTGTCGAACATCAGATCATGCACACTAGAGAGAATCTCTATGAGTATGGTGAATCCTTTATTCACAGTGTGGCTGTCAGTGAGGTTCGGAAGAGCCAGGCTCGAGGGAAGCGCTTTGAATGTAAGGAGTGTGGGGAAACCTTCAATAAGAGTGCCACTCTTGCTGAACATCGGAAAAGTCACTCTAGAGAGTATTTCACAGAATGTAATGATGAGGGATATGAGGAGCCCTTCATGCCTAGCCCTACTTTCAGTGAGCTTCAGAAAATATATGGGAAAGATAAATTCTATGAGTGTAAGGTGTGTAAGGAAACTTTCCTTCATAGTTCCGCCCTGATTGAACACCAGAAGAAAACCCATGGGAGAGATGACAAAGGTGATGACCGTGGGGAAACCTGTAAGCCCAGCCCAACCTTTAATAAGCTTCAGAAAATGTATGCTAAAGAGAAAATGTACGAGTGTACGGTGTGTGGGGAGACCTTCCGTCACAGCTCATCTCTGAAAGAACATCAGAAGATTCACACTAGAGCAAACCTATTTGAAAAGAAGGGTAAAGTGCGTGAGGAAACCTTTATTCCTGGTCTGTCCCTTAAAAGGCGGCAGAAAACTTATTCAGAGGAGAAGCTCTACGACTTTAAAGATGGTGGCGGTGCCTTTAGGCATGGCGCAGGCCTTGGTGACTATCACAAAATTCACTCTCGAAAGAACCTCTATGAAAGCAGAGGCTATGGGAAGTCTGTCATTCATAGTGTGCCCTTCACTGAATCTCAGAAGAGTCACACTATAACAAGACCACCTGAAAATGAGGATGAGAAGGAGTTCGCCATCAGTTCTAAACCTGATGACAACCAGAAATTTTCCACTCAAGAAAATGTCTATGAGAGGAAACCAAATGAGAGGTCTGTTATTCACAGCTTAGCCTCTGCTGAAGCTCAGGAAAGTCATGGTGCAGTGGGGTTCAGTAAACCGAAAGCGATCGCAGAGTCTACCGTTCAGAGCCCGAATGTGATTGAACATCAGGAAGTCCGTGGTGGAGAGAAGGCCTCTGAAGGAAAGAAATACGAGAGATCTGTTATCCATAGCTTAGCCACTTTCAAACTTCCCAAAAGTCTCAAAGGAAGTGAATGTAATGAGAAGGAAAAATCCTCTACTGACATCTCAGATCTTTATGATAAACAACAGAAAACTCCTGCCAGAGTGAACCCTTATGAAGAGGATAAAAACAACTCTGTTATACGCAGTGTATCCTCTACTGAACCTCCAAAAAGTCTTACCAGAGAGGGGACCAGTGAGTTTAAGAAGGATGACCAGTCGTCTGTTTCCAACTCAAATGCCCATGAACATCAGAAGGTTCAAGTTAAGAAGAACAACATTGAGCATAGGAACTGCGAGACCTCAGTAATTCACTCTCTACATATTGGTGAACCTGAAACATTTCACCCTAAAGAGAAATGCTATGAATGTCCAGAGTGTGGAGAATCCTTTGTTCATAGCTCCGACCTCACTGAGCATCAGAAGATTCACCATAGAAAGAAGTCCTCTGGAAGCCAAAACTATGAACGATCTGTTATTCGCAGCTTAGCTTCCACTGACCCCCAAAAGAGTTATGCTGAACAGCCAGAGCAGACAAGTTACGCTCAACAGTCAGTGGTGATTAGTTATGCTCAACAGTCTGCGCAGACAGGTTATGCTCAACAGCCAGTGCAGACAGATTACACCCAGCAGGCAGTGCAGGCAGGTTATGCTCAACAGTCAGCACAGATAGATTATGCTCAACAGCCAGCGCAGCAAGAATGTAAGGATTATGGGCAATGCTTTGCTACCATTGAAGACCTTGGCGCCCATCAGAAAATCTATGCCCAAGAGGAATTCCACGAGGGGAAGCTGTTTGAAGACTCTCTAGGCCTTGACAAACCTGAGCAGGACGAGGAGGATAAACAGGATGAGGATGAGCAGGATGATTCTGAGGACACAATCTATGGATGTAAGGACTGTGGGCTGGGCTTTGCAGATCGCGCAGACCTCAAGGACCATCAGAAAGTTCATAACAGAGAGTACCTCATTGACACTCGTGAGTACACACATTCTGTAATTCACACCCGTTCCGTCAGTGAATATCAGAGAGATAACACTGGAGAGCAGCTCTATGAATGCCCAGCATGTGGGGAGTCTTTTGTTCATAGCTCATTCCTTTTTGAGCACCAGAAAGTCCATGAGCAAGATCCGTTTTATGGACAGAGGAGGTATGATGAGCCTTTCATGCAACCTCTGGTCATTAACCCACAGAGGTTTCATGCCCTACAGAAGACTCCTGCTACAGGGATATTTCTTCAGTGCCAACTGTGTGGACAAGATTTCATTCATGGTTCTGTCTTTAATGAACATCTGGCACTTCATATGGGTGAGAATTCACTGGAACAGGGCCAGAGAAGTGGAGAGGCTGTCAGTCCAGGCCTGTCCCTCACCGAGTTACAGAGAAATCAGGCTGAAGAGCACTATGAATGTGAAACATGTGGGGAGTCCTTCCTCAGTCAATCAGACCTGAGGGATCACATGAGAATTCACGAGAAAGATGAGCCCTATGATTACGGGGCTTCCTTTGTTCACACCTCATTTCTTACTGAGCCCCCCAAAAGAGATTCACCATTTTATGAGTGCAAGGACTGTGGGAAGTCTTTTATTCATAACACAGTTCTCACTAAACATCAGAAGCTTCATCTTGAAGAGGAAGAAGCCGCAGCCCAGGAAGCTGAAGCCAATGTGCTTATTCCACGAGAAGTTCTGCGGATCCAGGGGTCAAATGTGGAAGCTGCCGAGCCAGAGGTAGAGGCTGCTGAGCCAGAGGTGGAGGTCGCCGAGCCCAATGTGGAAGCTGCCGAGCCCAATGGGGAGGCTGAAGGCCCAGATGGAGAGGCTGCAGAGCCCGATGGGGAGGCCGAGCAGCCTAATGGAGAGGCCGAGCAGCCCAATGGGGATGCTGATGAACCAGATGGTGTGGGGATTGAAGACCCAGAAGAGAGAGCAGAAGAGCCAGAGGGAAAGGCTGAGGAGCCAGAGGGAGACGCTGACGAGCCAGATGGTGCAGGGATCGAAGACCCAGAAGAAGAAGGTGAAGATCAAGAGATTGAAGTGGAAGAACCCTACTATGACTGCAGGGAATGTGGTGAAACCTTCGCTTCCAACTCGGCCTATGGTGAGCACCTGAAGACCCATGCCAGGGTGATTATATTTGAGGCCGGAAACGTCTATGGGGAAAGCTCACACTACACTGAACATGCCGGGACCAGCACTAGTGACCATGATAGGGCTGATGACAAGTACTTCAAGTGTGATGTCTGTGGGCAGCTCTTCGGTGACCGCCTATCCCTTGCTAGACACCAGAACACCCACACTGGCTGAGAACACAAGTGTAAAGGTCGGAAAATCTTCGCTAAGAACTTGACCCTCACAGAGAATTCAAACCAATCCTTGATAATGTCAGAAGGAAACGTCCCTTGGCTTTTAACATTAGACAACTTGGACTGGAAAGGAACTGGAGGTGGTGGCGGTTACATCAGTCTTAACTGTCCCCCATCAAACACCAGTGTGTGCATGTGGGCAAACCACAGCACATACCCCACCTTTTACCTGAGTAGTCAGATTGAGGGAAAGTTCTAGGAGATTCTGAGACAACAGAAATAGCCGCATCCACCTGTAAATGATACTTCTGTAAGCTATATATAATTTTCCTGAGATGTTTGTAAAATAGAAAATCATAGCAAAACAATGATCACAAATATTTGGATTTAATGATACATAGTTATAGTTTACTGTGCAGAGGTACCCTACCTGGAACACTTTGATTTGGTGGGTGGCGGGGTGGGGGGGAATGAGCAACAAATTAGAATATATTTGTAAGCATCTTAGGTTCTATGAAAGATTTATTGTGCATTATTTTAACCCCTTCAGTATATTTTTGAGTAATCTTATGTTATTCCTTACTCTTAAGTATTTCCATAAAGGTGTAGGCATGGAAGATAAAATGTCTTTTTCTCTGTGCTTTTTGAAAAGAGAAGTGCTTTGACCTTCCTTTTCAACCATCTCGTCTACACCAACACTTTAGAACCTAATGCTGTCTCAGCCTTTGAATTCTGCAAATTGACCTTTTGTGACCCAAGTTGACCCCTTGCTACAGTGTACTCTGAAGTGATTCTTATGCAGATTTTTTTACCCAACTTAATGTGTGTTCAATAGTGAACTCACAAAAGCTGGAGCTTTCCCCTCTAAATGTTACTTCTTTGCCTTTAAAAGAGTGGGTCGCCACGGTCACTAGATCAGGACAGTGCCTAATGTAGGTTGAGAACCATAGGAAGAGGCTCTCACATTGTAAATATAAGGATGCAGGTAACAACTTTCATCACTTCTTTGTGCGCTTCCTGCCTTAAGTGATCAGTAGCAGTGTGGCTTTGTTAGTATGTACTGCCACAAGTCAGTTTGCACCTGGGTGCCCAGGAGCTAGTATATTTAGAGCTTTCTATTGCTGAACTTAATTCTTGCCCTCGCCTCTCTGACTCTCAACCCCATGTCTCACTTGCATTTAAAGAAAAGCTTTCTTTACAGTCAACCCAAGCTTAACATGGACTCAGGTTCCCCAGCAGCCTTAATTTGTTTTGTTATTATATGTTCTTTTCTCTTTCACCCCTCCTGAGTATCCCTGAGCTATCCATCAGTGTCGTGTTGGTCTGATTGCCTCAGTTTTCCATTAATTACAGATCAGCCTCATAGCTTGTGGTTTCCTGTATCTTGTTCTGTGGACCATCTGTGCTCCTTTTGCTTCCCCTCACATAATGACTATTGAGACATTTGGGGGCTTTGAGTTGGCTGGGAAAAAAATTCAAAAATTAAAAAAAAAAAATTTTTTTTTAAAGTGGATCTGTAGAGATGAGCAAAAGAACAGATAATTTGGGCAAGAAAATTAAAATACTTTCTTGGGGAATATGCCCAAATCTCACTCTCCTAGATCTGCACCCTTAGGGCTTGAGGAGACTGTCAGAGCTGCTGGGAACACCAAAGTCCTGGGAGGTTTTGGGCCGAGAGCCCAGAACAGAACCGAATAAGCCAAAGGGAGTCCCACCATAGCAGCAGAGCTAGGAGAGTGAGGAAGCAGACAGAAGGAAACATCAGGAATGGAGTGGGAGGCCAGGTCGGTGAGACTCTGTCCTGGCCAGTTTAGAAGGGGCCATTTTGAGGGCGTGGTGCAGGTGAAGGCCAGCTGCATCGAGAGACCGGTTGGAATGGACATCCGAGAAAACAGCAACAGTGAGGCGCTGCCTCAGAGGAGGGCCCTTGAGTCGGGAGCCATTGCTGACGCTGGGGTGAACTTGGGTTCATCACTGCTGGGAGTGTTGACGGGTAGGGCCTTTTCAGAAACCAGTTTGCCAAATGTCAGGGCGTCCGTTCCAACCTTATGTTAGTGAAAAATTAGGAACAACTTAAATGCCAAACAGTAGGGAGAGTGATTAAGTGAACATATCTGTGATTTTTACGCAGCTGTTTAAAAATGATAATCATGAAGAGTTATGTAGTAACATGGAAATATATTTACAGAATATTAAGTGAAAAAAGCAGGACACAGAATTATATTTATACTACAATTATAACTGTTTAAAAATGTATGCTTATAGTCAACAGCTGTTGTGTTGTTGTTGTTGTAGGCTTATAGTTGAGAATTATTTTCTTAAATTCCTTGCTGTTCCTTATGGTAGTGATACTAAAAAGTTTATAGTCATGTCTCCATTGTGAACATAATTTGAACTCATCAGACATTTGGAAAATAAAAATGGAGAAACAAACCTCATTCCAACCATCCAAAGGCATACACTTTTTAGTATATTATTTCCTGTTTCTGTGCACAGGTTTATGATTATAACTGTCAAAATGTGTATTCAAAATAGTTGTTATGTTATCTTTGTAGAATTATGATTAAACACTTTCATCTTAACGTTCCTTATTAATAGTGTTCTGATAACAAGCTTATTATGTGTGTTTCCGTTACAAGTGTACCCAGAGGAAAAATTGGAAGAGGAAAAGAATCACCCGTATTCCCAATACCCAGCAACTGTTAACATCTTGATTTGTGTCCTCTGTCTTGTTTCGGTGCACAAGCTTGTGATTATGAGTGTTGAATCAAGTCCAAGGTGAAAAAATATGAAAAATCATTAAAATAGTGTTGTCATTGTGGGATTATGGTTAAATATTTTGTCTCAAATTCCTTGAATGATCTTTGGTGTTTTGGTATTAAATCTTATGTATGTATTTTTCCACTACAAATATAATGCATACTCATAGCAAACTTTGGGAAATTCAGTAAAGTAGAAAGAAGTCACCCATATTCCCAGCACCTAACAATAACCCCTGTTAACATCTGTCTGTACACCAGTCTGATTGTTAGCGTGTTAATGATAAGTATGCATAGAGTCAAAGATGGGAAGAAATCTGGAAAATAATTAAGAAATAGTGGTGTGGTTGTGGGATTATGGTTAAATATTTTGTCTTGGTTTCCTTGAATGGCCTTTATCATAGTATTTTGGTAATCCACCTTCATTATATGTAATTCCATTATAGACACAGAACGTGTGCATTATAGAACCTTTGAAATTGCAGAAATGTAGAAGAGAAACTCACCCATATTTTCATCATCCAAAGACTGTGGTTAATTAACATCTTGATATATTTTTTCATCTCGTTTCTGTGCACAGGTTTTTGGTTCGTTAATATGGTTGTGGTTATATCTATCTGTAATAGTGTCAACAATAAAAATAAAGTTAAAAATAAGATATTTCTCAGTCTCTTTTTGGGTCCATGTTAAGTGTTTGGGATTATTAAATATAGTGGGATTTTGTTATTAAAACTGTAAGTCCAAAATCTTAGTGCCTTCTTAGGCCTTAAATTCTGTCTCACAAATCTTATTTCAGTTTTCAGTGTCACATATTTCAACAATTCTGAGGGCTTTTTAGCATTACATGATTCCACATTTTTAACTGCACTTACAAAATTAAAACGTTTTTAATAGCGTTTTTAAACTTGGTAATAACCACAAGCATATTTCAGTTACTTGAGTTGGCATCTAAAATTTTAACCATTTAAATGTGAGGTCCAGAGAACTAAGAATGATTCCTTAATATAAAAATGTTCACATTATGGCTATGCATCTCTTTAAAGTTCGTATTCCAAAATCTTGCTTGAGGTTAGAAGATATCATTTCACTTTTTTTTTTTTTAAACCTGAACTCACCACCAGAAACATCCCAGGCAATTTATCATCTCAGATGATAAATTGTTACCTGCATCCCAGGCATCTTATCATCCCAGATAAACTGGGAGGTAATTTTTAAATATGCTTGTAATCCCATCGTGACCAGAGGTCTTCAGGCAGGTTGCTAACGGGGTAACCATTGGCCACTGCTGTCCATTGCCCCACACCCAGTTTGGGTCCTTGTGTCAGACTCCACCACACAAAGGAGATGGTCACACATGTGACATCCTTGCAATGCCCTGCATGTCACGTGATTGGATTCTAAGGCTAGAAGAGGGCACTTTGCAGTTACCTACTCTGGGATTTGACTGGGGCGGAGTCCTGCATTCTTTCATAGTCTCAGGACTGACTTCTATTACACTGAAGATCCATTCTACTTCGGGTGTCTCTTGCAGCATCTGACTGTGGTCACAGCTTTGACGGTTCTAGGAGAACCATCAGTGTAGTTCAGGGGAAGAGGGTCCGTCCTCATTTATGGTTGATTTCCTCAAGAGTACACTTTGGAAGGAAGTAGACTGAGGGAATGAAGTGTGGGTCATCGGGAGCTGCCTGACTAGCACTTACAGTCTTGGGTGGGAAACCGTCCACTCACCTCAGTTGTAGGGAAAACTCCCACACCACCATGTTCATTCCGTGAGCTTTGAGCCCTCCCTGGCCCCAGCTGATTGGTGCTCACGGGATCCCAGTGTCCAGGCTCGGAGTAAGGGCTACCTGGGCGGGCGTGCAGGCCAGGGCTGGGTGTGCTGATGAACAAACACACCTGGAGTAAGGCCACGTGGCCAGAGGGAAGCTTGGTTCCTGGTGCCTCACCCACCCCGATGCCACGTGAATCCTTGGGTTCCCTAACTCCTACATCTTTATTACTACCCCCCACCTCATAAGATGGCTTTGTTTCGGTGTAGTTTTTGTTGTTTTTACCAGCCCCAAATCCCTTCCCTTTGCTGGGACTACTCAGTCTTGTGAGAACACCACAGTGCCCTGCCCTGCCCCTTCCAAAGGCTGAGCTGGGCGCCAGTCAGGCTCCCCGAGCAGATGGACACAGGAATTACTCCAGCGTCAGCACTGACCTTTACTAGTTTCTGCTACACAGGTAGCCAGAGCCGTGCCGATGGCCTGTGCTGCCTGAGGCCTGATTATTTAGCTCTTCCGTGGATTCTCTGAGCCACACAGTGTGCTCCCAATCCATTTCTTGTTTGCTTTATTTACATGGCCAGAGTTAACTATTTGCAACCCAAAGGGGCCCTAATATAGAAATTGATATAAATTGGGGTGGTAAACACACGATACAATATACAGATGATGTAGTGTATAATTGTATACCTGAAAACTATATAATTAACCGATGTCACCTCCATAAATTCAATTACAAATTTTTTTTAAAAATCTATAAAAATTGATACCAGAGAACGGGCTGGAGATAATCAATCCTGAGGGAAATATGGGATATTTTCAATTAAATATCAAGTCTTAGGATAGGAAACTAGAAGACCAAAGCATGTGGAAGTAAAACACCTTAATTATTGCTGGTGGGTGGTTATCTGTAATCATCTACTTCCTGGGATGAATAGTTGCTGTCAGACACAAATCCAAAGACTCTGCGGGGTATCCAACCTGTGGCCCAGAATGGCTATGAATGTGGCCCAACACAAAATTGTAAATTTACTTAAAACCTTTTTTTTTTTTTTTTTTTTTTGCTCCCCAGTTTTCATTAGTGTTTGTGTATGTAATGCGTGGCCCAAGACAACTCTTCTTCTTCCAGTGTGGCCGAGAAATGCCAAAAGGTTGGACACCCCTGCAGGGAGAGAATGTCTAGATCAGAGGTGTAGGAGAGTGTCTACAAGCACCTCGATTCTGCAGCCAAATCCAGAGCCTCGCACTATTCCTGCTTTGAAAAGTCTGGGCAGCCCTAGGGATACAGGATCCTAACAGTCAGTGGTGGTACCTAGGGGACTTGGAAATATTGACCCAATTCTGAAGCTCCAAACCCACTGAGAAACTCATTTCACCACTTCCTTCTCACACCAGAGAAAATTGAGCAGCAAGCCAGTAGTTGAAATGCTTTCTGATCTCTGTGGTGATGGGAGGAATATTGAATATTGAAAAGGGGGCCACTTCTTATAGGAAGCATGGTGGTATAATTAGGTTCTCGGGGAGCTCTGACACAGATGCTTGGGTGGGTTACCTCCCGAATAAGTGTAAGTCTAGGTTGGAAAGAGGTGGACTAGGGTCCTCACACTAGAGTCACAATCTCCTTGAATCAGGTTATGAACAGAGACCAGAATCCAGAGATCCTTGGGGTAGGGTGCTGCTATATATAACACTTCTGCCTCCCTCTCACCTGCTGCAATGGGACCTGCAGCCTTTTATATAGATAATTCTTTTACTGATAAAAAAACAAACTTCAAGGACCAGTAGGTGTCGTATCTAAACAAACATGAATTCTTGGGGATTGGAATACTGCAGGGTGAAGAGCAATTAAAATATAAAATGCTATCTGCAGTCAAGCCAGCTCCCCAGAACCTGGCTATACATCTCTTACTGACACCTTCCAAATTCTTCACAAGATCTAAGTCACTACCCACAGCCTCAGGAAGATATGAGTGAGAAGGAAGTCAGGGCTAGAACTATATCCGCCAGCCAGACATCTGGGGCAGGTTGCTCATACCCAGCTCCTTTTACCACACAAAGAGTAACATTTTATCTTCAATCAGACTCTTGTTCTGGATCTAGATTCTCCTTTTCCTGCCCACCAGCCTCTTCGCAACATCTGTGGGCTTACTGTGTGCTTCATATACCACTTTTGTACTGTTTGCAGTAGTTATCAGTCTCAGTAATGCTGCATAACAAGCAGCCACAAAACCTCACAGACACACAGTGTTTATTTCTCACATATCTAGGATCACCTGAAGATTGACTAGGTGGCTCTGCTTATCTTTCTAGGCTTGTTCACATGTCTAGGGGTTGGCTGGCTGTAAGGTAAAATAGGCTTCTTGTAGCTGGGGGTGGGTGGATACTTGTCTGTCATCCTTTTGAGACTAGGGGACTACCTCCTTATGGTAATGCAAGAAATGCAAGAGAACAAGTGAAAACACACAAGGCTTCTTGAGCCTAGCCCTGACGCTTGCACCATCACCATTACCTCATTAAATTGGCCAAAGCAACTCACCTGGCATGCAGAATATACTCCACTTTTAGAAGAAGAATTCTAAAACCACATGACAAAGTTTTTCTTTAAATTTTTATTTATTGATTTGAGAGAGAGAGAGACATCAATGTGTTGTTCCACTCATGCATTCACTGGTTGATTCTTTTTTTCTTTTTTAAGATTTTATTTATTTATCTTTGGAGAGAAGGGAAGGGAGAGAGAAAGAGAAGGAGAGAAAATCAATATGTGGTTGTCTCTTGCACACCTCCTACTGGGGACCTGGCCTGCAACCCAGGCATGTGTTCTGACTGGTAATCAAACCCGCGACTGCTTGGTTCACAGGCTGGCTCTTTGATCCACTGAGCCACAACAGCCAGGGCTGGGTGATTCTTCTCTGTTCCCTGACTGGGAATCAAACCCACAACCTTGGCATATCAGGACAATGCTCTAACCAACTGAGCTACCCAGCCAGGGCCAAAGTTTGTTTTGCATAAGCCATTATAGAGTCAGCAGGCACCCCAAACAGCAGGTGACCTCACCAAGCTCCTTCCTTGAGAACTACATTCAGCATGTCAGCATCAAGCCACTATAGCTTTGAACTGTGTCTATGAGCATCTGTGCTTTATCTTGATTTATTTTGTGTATCTATTTGCAAGATGTGTCCTAAAGTAATTGTTGCTTCATTTTATGTCATTTCAGCTTTCAAAAGATTTAAAGCAACACTCTACTTTCATTGGGCTAGGGATACAGGAACTAACAAACTGAATTCAATAGCACATTAAAAGGATCATACACCATGATCGAGTGCGAGTATTTCTGGAATGCAAGGACAATTCAGCCACAACATAATAAAGGACAAATATGACAAACCTACAGCCGACATCATACTTAACAATGAAAAACTGAAAGCGGTGATGATAATACTACCTACCTAAAAAGGCTTTGGGGAGGGGTCATTACATTTATGTTAAGGCTTAGAACAGGAAATGGCTTAGGGCAAGTGTTGAAGAAATATTCACCATATGTTGTCATCATCGCCATCATCATTAAGTGTAACAGTTACTACACTGTCCCCCATATATCTTGAGCCCTCAATAAATGTGCTTTAGTTAAATATAGTGGCTCTGAAACACAGGAAAAGATGCTCTAGCTTGCTCATGAAAAGAGAAATGTAAACCAGAACTACCCCAAGATACCGTTTCTCAACCCTCACTTTAGAAAACTTGAAAAAGCAGCACTGACCAGTGTGGCTCAGTTGGCTGGGCATCGTCCCACAGAACGAAAGTTTGCTAGTTCCATTCCTGCTCAGCGCATGTGCCTGAGTTGCAGGCCCAGTCCCAGTTG